TGTAAGTGTTCCTGCAGGAAAAACACTGACGTGACATTGTTTAATAAAGTTAACATACTGAGGCCACCTGAATGAAGCAGATATTTCAGGATGTGATGATGTGTTGCTTTCTGTACRAGACTGGAAACAGAACTGATGCATTTAAATCTTGTTTTTCCCAACGTCTACTTTTTGTTGGTTTAATAAAACTAAAAACTTCCTTGTTTTCTGTTGAGCATATATCTACTTGGAGAAAATACTTGTTTTTTAGTTTAGAGTAGGCTACAATCACTCAGAATAAAATGAACTACTACTTAAAGYAATAAAATATTAACATGCGATGTTAATGTGTTTCTTGAGATCAACTAATTTACAGTTTCTTTCTGTGGTTTATTGTAAAGTATTGCCCAGAAATGAACAATGTTTTATGTTCCTAAGCTGGAATGTTAAATAAGGATATTTCTCATGAGTTTCTGTTTTGAATGTTGGGTTTTAAAGGTAACAGTGAAATTCTGCCCACAGAAGCTGGTGTTTTATGTTATTAAGTGGTTTCTTTGGCTCAGAGCATCTTAAATGTGCCCAGCTGGAAAAACATGAGCAGCCTGACTGACCTGGACATGAGCCAGCTTTAACTTCTGTTCCTCTTGGAAAGCAACAATAAAAACACCATGAAGTTTCTCTCTCTCTCTCTCTCTCTCTCTCTCTCTCTCTCTCTCTCNCTCTTGGAAAGCAACAATAAAAACACCATGAAGTCTCTCTCTCTCTCTCTCTCTCTCTCTCTCTCTCTCTCTCTCTCTCTCTCTGTCTGTCTCTTCACGTCTCTGTATTTGTCAGCAATGTTCTCTCTATGTTTTCTTCTCTTGCTAAATGTATCATTTTCACTGCAGGTTTTGTTCTGTTTATCTCATTCTGTCCATCAAACTCCTACTCATCTGCCTCTGCCCGTTGTTTTTTTTTTCTCTCTCTCTCTCATGTTTTTTTTTGCCTCATTCTCAGTATCTCTTTTAAACTCCTCTCTCCTCCATCATTGAGTCTCACCTTCCTTCTCCCTGACTCTGACCCATCACTAATCCCTCCCCACCTTGTTGCTTTCTAACTCTGGAGTTTCTCCTGAGTCTCGTCGTGCTCTCATGCTTTTGCTAATCCTTCCATTTTCTTTGTCTCTCTCGAAGAGAAGTCAGTTTAATGTCTTCTTGCTCTGAGCCTCGGTGTGTTTTCTGCTTGCAGTTCCTGCACTATTTCAGTGGAGAGCATTCCTGTGGCATCAAAGCATCTCAGTTTTGATTAATTGAAGCTTTTTATTTTTAAAGAACATCACCTGTAAACACAACAGCATGATACTTTGTGAACTAAATCCTGCACTACTGCAGCCAAAAGGAGTAACTTTAGGCTCAAAATTAACTTCTGCTCAATTAAAAAGTATCAGAGTTAGACTTGTGATATTCCCAGCGACAGCAGGGTTAGGGTTTCTCAAAGAGCCATGTCAGCATCGAAGAAAGGCATGCTGGGAGGCGTGCAGGCCTTATTGATCCACCTGTAGCATCCAGCTGCTTGTTTACCAACAACAAATCAATGCTGCTCTCAGCTGGGGTCCGCCATGCTTTACCCGTGGTCTGCTCATACAAACTCAGTCACAGGGAACAATATAGAATACACAAACTGACACACACACACACACACACACAAACACACTAGACATTTGCTGTGGCAGATGTAGGTTTAAATGGAATAATGTCTATCTGTAAACAGTTCCTTTTAGAGAGTTTGGCCTGTTTTCCAGATGAGGCGTACTTGTAAATAAAAGCTATTGTGATTTTTTATGGGCACTATAAGTGTTTATCTGAGTTTTACAGATGAGGTTTTCTTCTCTTTTAGCTGTCTAGATAAAATCTAAAGCTCCATAATGACCAGTGCTGCTGTCTTTTTGTTTTATTTGTTAATTTGGGCATTTCTTTTAAGACTCTGCAGGTGTGTGTTTGTTCTGTTTGACTCTTGAGAAACAGCTTCAGCTGGTTCTGGTCTGCTCTGCATCCCCAGAACCAGAAACAAACATGGAGAAGCAGCATTTAGCTTATGTGCACTGCAAATCTGGAACAAACTCCCAGAAAATTGTAAAACAGCTGAAACTCTGAGTTCCTTTAAATCAAGACTGAAACCCCACCTGTTTAGAGTTGCTTATTAAACAGTATAAATGAACCATTAATCAACATTTTGATATGTAATAATGGCGCTTGGCAAACTAATGCTTCAATTGTTAACTGTGTTCTATGAATTTGTTATTTTTATGATGTAAAGCACTTTGAACTGCCTTGTTGCTGAAATGTGCTGTACAAATAAACTTGATTGATTGATTAATTGAAATAATTACAACAAACATGTAGAGGAGAGTGACTAAAGGCAGCAGCAGAGTGAGGAGATCTGGGGCCTCATGTATCAATGGTGCGTATACACAAAAACCTTGCGTACGTCATTTTCCACGCAAAACTCTGGATGTATCAAAACTCAACTGAACGTGGAAATGTGCGCAGC